CTGCCCAGATCGCCAGCGAGATGAAAAGATACAGAATCCAAGTGCTGGGAATATGTGAAAGCAGATGGAATGGAAGTGGACTCACCAAATTATCAACGGGAGAGTCAGTGATCTACTCCGGTCACCCAGAAGATAACCACACGCACACCGAGGGCGTGGCTATCATGATGTCACCAACAGCAACGAAAGCCCTGATGCAATGGGAAGCGATCTCGTCCAGGATAATGACCGCCAGATTCAACTCCAAAGGAAGAAAAGTGTCAATAATCCAATGTTATGCACCCACCAACAACGCAGACCTCGAAACGAAAGAAGAATTTTACAGACAACTACAGGCAGCAATAGACAATACTCCAGCTGGAGACATTAAAATACTAATGGGAGACATGAACGCCAAACTGGGATCAGACAATACAGGAAGAGAACTCATCATGGGTAGAGAAGCTCTTGGAGAAATGAATGAAAACGGAGAACTCTTCGCCGACTTCTGTGCCTTCAACGAACTAGTGATTGGTGGCAGTGTTTACAAGCACAGAGATATCCACAAGGCTACATGGGTGTCACCAGACGGGCGAACCAAAAACCAAATTGACTTTATCACAATATCGAGGAAGTGGAGACGCAGCCTACTGGACACAAGAGCAAGAAGAGGAGCAGACGTTGGCTCAGACCACTACCTCGTACAAGGGAGAATCCAAATCAAATTAAAAGCTTTCAGGGAAACAGGAGCTGCAGATAGACCACAAGCCAAGTTCAACACTCAAAAGCTGAAGGACCAGGCTACAAAGGACATCTTCATTGCAAACATAAGGGAAAAAGCCGAGACACAAATCAACACCAACGAAAAGGTCAGCGTCGAAAAGCACTGGAACAAATTGAAAACGGTGTGGAGTCAAACCTGCATGGAAGTCCTAGGCAGAAAAAAGAGGCAGGACAAACAGTGGCTCTCTACGGACACTTGGAAACTAATAGAAGAGAGAAGGGTGACGAAACAAAAGATTATCCAGTGCACCGACGAGCAACAAAAACAGGAGTTGAATGCAAGCTACAATGCACTGAACAAAAGAGTGAAGAAAAGTGCCAGGGAAGACAAAAGAAAATATTGTGAAACCATGGCAAACGAAGCAGAACAAGCTGCAGGCAGAGGAGACCTCGCTACACTATACCAAACAACTAGGCACCTTTCGGGCAAAAGTTCGACACAGATTAAGCCAATAAAGGACGACAATGGAAAGTCAATCACCAAAGAGGTGGAACAGAGGAAGCACTGGGCTGAACACTTCAAAAGACTTCTAAATCGTCCGCCACCTACAACGCGTCCAACAATACCAACAACGGAAGCAGAACTACCAATGAACATCGACCCTCCGACGAAATCCGAAGTCCTGAATGCCATCAAGATGCTAAAAGCTGGGAAAGCGCCAGGACCAGATGGAATCCCAGCAGAAGCTTTGAAAATAGACCCAGAGACAACAGCGGACTTGATGACGCCACTACTAGAGAAGGTGTGGAAAGAGGGCAAAGTACCCGAGGATTGGAAGAACGGATACTTATTCAAACTGCCAAAGAAAGGAGATTTGAGTCAATGTAAAAACTGGCGTGGAATTATGCTTCTGTCCATTCCAAGCAAGATACTATGTCGCATCATCCTGGAGAGAATTAAACAAGCCCTAGATGAAAAACTTCGTCCGGAACAGGCCGGATTCAGGAGGAACAAGTCATGCATTGACCAAATCACCACCCTACGGATTATCATTGAACAAAGTTTGGAATGGCAGTCACCTCTCCACCTCACTCAACTTCATCGACTTTGAAAAGGCCTTCAGCAGACAGCGTCGATCGAGAGGTGATTTGGAAACTACTTCGCTACAACGGGGTGCCACCGACAATTATACATCTCATCCAACAGCTGTACGACAATGCTGCATGCCAAGTAATCCACAATGGGAAACTTACGGAATCCTTAGAAGTGAGGACAGGAGTAAGACAAGCTGGCTGCCTACTATCGCCAATGATTTTCCTGATTGCAGTAGATTGGATAAGGCGACAAACAGCGGGTGATGAGGAAACAGGCATAAAATGGACTCACACAAAAAACTTGGAGGATGTGGACTTCGCCGATTATATATGTCTGATTTCCCACAAACTGGAAGATATGCAAGTGAAAAGCAACAAATTGGCAGAAGAAGCAGCAAAGATAGGACTTCAAGTGAACATAGACAAAACAGAGGTAATGAAGATTCCTGGCCAACATCAACAGCAACAACCGACAACAATCAGCATAAATGGGAGGAACCTGAAGGAAACAACTTCTTTCACCTACCTGGGAAGCATCGTCTCAACTACAGGAGGAACTGACGAGGATATCAAAGCCAGAATCGGAAAAGCAAGACAAGTTTTCATTTCTCTCAAGTCTATGTGGAGGTCAACAGCATTCAGCGTCAAAAATAAGATCCGTATTTTCAACTCCAATGTGAAGTCAGTACTACTATACGGATCAGAGACTTGGCGTGTCACAAAGAGCAGCTAAAACAAACTACAGACTCAAGATCAAATGGCCGGAGAGGATCAGCAACAGAGAGGGATCTCTGGGAGCGAACCAACCAGGAACCGATCGTGAAACAAATAGGCAGGAAGAAATGGAGATGGATTGGACACACTCTGAGGAAACCAGCAAGTGACATCACTAGACAAGCCATTGCTCGAGTGGAACCCGAAAGGGAAGCGACGAGTTGGTCGTCCAAGGGTGACCTGGAGGAGATCATGTGAGGAGGAATTGAAAGCGTGTGGGCAGACTTGGAGGCAGGTGAAAACTACAGCAGAGAACCGAACGGAATGGAGACGCATGGCTGAAGCCCTATGTTCCTCTAGGAGTTAAAGGAAATAATAATAAATAATATAATAAATAATTATACACCTTTTCCAAATGTTAATAAGTGATGAATATTGAACAATGTTTGAATCAAATTGCTTCGCTACGCATCAATATCATCATCGAATAGAGCATAGATGGTCAGTCAAACCTCTACCTCCTCTTCATCGACTTTGAAGAGATCTTCGAAAGCGCTGATCGCGAAGTAATTTGGAAACTACTGGAACAATACGGTGTGCAGTGCTCTAAACATTTATCAACCTCATTCAACTGCTATATGACAAAGCCATGTGTCAAGTGATCCGCAACGGGAAACTCAGTGAAGTCAGGACAGGAATAAAACACGGTTATCACCCACGATGATATTCCTAATTGTCATAGATTGGATTAAGCTTCAGACTGTACATGGCAACGAGAAGACAGGAATACTTTAGGCCGATAAGAAAACTCTGGAAGAATTGGATTAAGGGGACGATTCATGTATAACTTCACACAAACTCGAAGACTTACAGGTGAAAGCCAACAAGTTGACAGGACGACAGGAATTCAGGTTAACACAGAAAAGACAGAAGTAATGAAGCTGACCAATCAACAACAAAAAGCACCAATTGGGAAAATTTTGAACGAGAACTCGTCTTTCACTTATCTAAGCAGTATTTTTTCAACTGCAGACAGTCGGCATGTGTGAGGATGCCAAAATCGGAATCAGAAAAGCAACGCAGATATTCGTTACTCTTAAATCAGTTCGGAAATCTGTTCTCCATTCAGCATAAAGAACAAGATTCGGATTTCAGTTCTTCTGTACGGTTCTAAGACTTAGCGCACCCGTTACCAAAATCATTTCCAGGAGACTACCACATATTCGGCTATTAGCACCTGCCTTCCTTCCATACTAATAATCAGATGGCCAACTGGAAAAGATAGGCAACAAGAAATTCCGAGAAAGAACCAATCAAAAGCCTACTGCCCTAAAATTACTCCGAAGGAAACAGCGATGGATTAGACAAACATTGAGAAGACTGTTGACTGAACCTGAATAGGAAGTGACAAGTTGGGCGTGAGTCTTACATTGACATGGTGAAAGAAATAAAAACTTATAGGCAATCACAGAGCCAGCTTAGAAAAGGCCTAAAGAGAACACAGTGAAACAGCGATACGCCGCTGAAGGTATATATTCCACTTGGAATCTAAGGGAGTGAAAGTAATAGTGTAGAGAGAGAGCTGGCTGCAAGCTAAAATTGTAGACAACAATTTACGTCAATGTTTACGTCCCGAATCGGTGTCATGAGAAAAAACAACAATATCAAGGCTTAACCATGAGGAACTCAAAAACCAATCACAGAAGACTTAACGTGTGCAAATACGATTCGCAGATATGTGGCTTAACTTTCTAAGAAACGGTCACAAGCAGTACAAAACAACCTTCAGCAAGACAACAACCAATCAGAAGAGGTTACTTCTCCGCTAACAATAATGCTTATAATAATGTACATAAAAATCTATGAATATCTTTTGATTTTCTCAATAAACGATCTATTGTGTGGCCCTTGTCTTCTGTCGTTACAATACAATTGTAAGACACAGCATCTGAATCTGATCCCCCTCCCTTCCTCGGTAAGATTTTAATTTAGAGGTTGTAAAGTTCGAATCCTGCAGTGACGCATATGTGCATTTCATCACTTACATTTATCACCCCCATTAAATGAACACCAATTTGACCAACCCAAGGTCACCTCGGATAGTCTCATCATCAACATGTATAATGGTCACTTAAAAAATGTCCAAAGCCAATCAATCAATCGATCGAGAACTAATTAGCATTCACCAATTAACGTCAATTTTTTTTCCATAATTTTGTTAAAAACAAATTTATTCATAAACGAACATTATTTTTAAGTGTATTTCTAATTTATTCTTTGTTTACTAATAATAATAATGAGTACAAGACAAAATAAAAGAGACAAGGTGAAATGCAAATCGCATTGATTCATTAATTTTAAGTGTGAAAAGAATGTTGCCAAGTTTTTCTGTCCCTGTGTCTGTATGTGTGCTTGTGTGCATGTATTGAAGTGGTTTTTTAATCATCCTCGAACTTTATATCCTTCCCACATAGTCACCGAACGTTAAATCTCATCTATAAATAAAAGTGTGACATTTGTTCATGAATATCTTGAATAGATAATTCACCATAACGCCCTGGATTTGATTGAATTAAACAAAATAATTTGTTCAATTGTTTTTGACGTATTTCATTCTCTTCATTTTGTTCATCAATTGTTAATGTTTTAAATTGTTCATTTAATTGTAACTTTTTTATGCTACACAATGAATTTAAACAGTTCAATGTTTCATATTTATTGTTTTTATAGGCGTCAACAGATTCAGTGCTATTATTATTATTATTATTAACATTATCTTGTACGATTTTAACGCTACACTGTTCAATGCTCAATTCATTCTGTTGTTTATTGACTTCTTCATTCAGAGGATTGTCATCGTTACGCGTATCTAAACAGGTAAATAAACAAATTTATCAAGTAACACATGACAAAGAAAGCGGAGGAAAAGGACTACTCACTATCTGTAAACAAGAAACCACTTTATATACGACTACAATTCAAGGGCGATTTACCAAGTGAGATAATTACGAAGAAATTAAGAAAATCAGTTCAAAGAAGTTTTAATGCTGGAGAACTACACGTTTTATTCTCTAGACGACCGATGGTGCTACCTCGACTGAAAGATGAAGTACCTAGACTAGCTAGCCACTTCAAATTGTATCTACCAATTCAACTGTGCTTGTGGTGGACCGAGTTATATTGGCCGTTGCTCTAGGAACTTGATTTTTCATGCTCTCTCGAGAACATCTCCCACTATGGCTAAGTAAAGGTGTAGTGAAAACCATTAACAGTTCGATATTGAACCATCTGATGCAAACCGGCCACAAAGCCAGCATTGAAGAATCCTTCTCTATCATCTACCACGTGCCTAATAAACTGCCAAAATCATCGAAGCACCACATTCTCCAGACAGCAGAGGCTATTGCAATTCACCTCAAACAACCAGTGCTCTGTGTTCAAAAGAAGCAAGTCCACCCAGCCACTACTACTGCCCTGACTGGCCTTCAGTAGAGACTATAAATTCATGAATTTGTAATATTATCTTTCCTAATTTTTCTGACATTCAACTTATTTTATGTTGATGTTCATTACACTAATTCATTCATTCACTATAATGTATATATCACTGTAGCGCCTGATGATGAAGTTATCGAAAAGAGTACTCTTTGTTCAGTATCCATTCTTTTGAAACATTTTAATGGGCATTTTTAATGAGTTGAAATTTTAAAAAATAACGAAAAATTAGTGAATTGGCAGAAGTTAGAATTTATGGGCCGGTCACTGAGTCATGTCCCAGTGGCTGAATGGCCTACGAGATAGCTCACCTTGTAACCAGAAGGTCCTGGATTTAAACACTGGTGGTGGATGCGTTCTTCTGAAGAGTCCCAAACTAGAACAACAGGAGTAGCTGTCTGACAGTACTCCCACGTGGGTTTTCCAATGATTCTCTAACCGATGTCAGCTCATGATGAAATCCTGTAACCAATCAATCATATCCCTACAAACCAATACTTGAAAAATCAAATTCCTGCAAAGTAACTCATGCAAATTAATCTAACGCTGACTAATGTATGAATAACAGAATGAATTTTCTTGGAGTTCTAGGGGGAAGTCATGATCATTGGGTTCTATCAGGTTGGATTTGAGGAACAATTCTTATAATGCTTTGCTGCGATGTTATATATTGCCATTAGATTCCACCCTGCAAGCTGAATAGTCAACTGGATCATCGAGTAATCTGTAGGTCTTAGGTGCAATCCCCCACAGGGTTATGGTTGAGCGCGGTTGAAAGGTTTAAACCCGAAGTGGAACAGCTATTCAACACTCCCTGGTTTCCAAATGATGCACCAAAAAGCCTACGTGTCAAAGGAACAGACTTTTCCAATAGTGCCATTGTCAGATATCCCCATGATATGGGTCATGAGGTGGACACAATGGAACCCTTTGAGATTGTCAATAGATAAAATAGTTCCATTCTTCTCAGGTTAGCTGAAGTAATCTGTATCAAACCCAGAAAGAAGCCGTTATCAGTCTTTCCTTGGCCTAGTAACTGGATGTCTTTATTCTTTCCTTCATTTGATCATGTAATCTTTGGCTTTAACCTATTGTTTTTATTACATAACTCCTTTACCACTGCATCCATACACTGATTCTTTGTACAAAACTTGAAACCTCCGTCAACTAACATCTTGTGAAAACTGTACATAAACTTAATCATTTCTTTAGACTGCACATAGCTGATGAGAAACCAAAGAAATAAACAATGATGGAACCATCATATTCTACACACACACACCACTGTTGTTCCTGCTTTATTCACATTCATTAATATGCATTAGTTCAGAAAGATAAACTGCTGTACAACAGTTCTCAATTGGTTCAATGTACTTAGAGAATAGATCATGCAATGTAGTCCATTAAATCAGTAACCAAAAAGAATACAGATTCTTGAAAACAATCATCAAACGGAATCTTCAAAATTTTAGACACAAAAATTGGAAAAATCCCCCTGTTATGTAATTAAGAACACACAATTCTGTTCGTAACTTCATTTTAAAGCAGTACAGTTATTCAGGGGATTCACATATACACTGCTAACTGACAACAGACGTCAGAGTTTATGATGTCTCTATCAACATCAATGAAATTACTGACCTCAATAAAATCCTGAGAATCTTTAAGAACACTCATCGATCTGTCGAATTTGAGACTTAGGAGGAATCAGAAGGATGTTCAGCTTTCAAGACAAACAGAAAGCGGAAAGGAAGTATTGGCCATAAAGGAGGGAGTGCAATAATCGAACATCTCGTCACTACTGGTCATTCCATCTCAACAAATGCCTCCTGATTCAAATTAATCTACAATGTGAAGAACAACCTGTCAAAGACAATACATTTCCGTCTTCTTTGCATTGCAGAAGCCCTAACCATCCAGTCAGAAGAACCAGAACTATGCATACAAAAGAAAATTATTCAGCCACTTCTACTATCATGGTGACGACTCTATTGATTTGACTTAAATTTTGATTGTTTGCTTGCTTTTTCTAACTACTTAAAACTCCTAAGTAGTTCTGTATTTTCATTTCTTTCCATGTACAGCCTGAGTACAACTCTTTCATCAAACTCTTCATGTTATTAGGTAACTCTTCTTTAAAAATCGTTTGTGACAACTCATCATTTTTGTTACTACCCTCTTATATCAACATCCGATTCGTCTGAACGCTTTTTGTATTAAATAACTCCACCAAAAACTTACTAATTGTATTTTCGTTTGGGAAATTCAATGTACACAAACATACAAAATAACTCATGTCCATTTGCGATTTTACAGCTGTGAAAATGAATTCGCCGTCGAAAAGAGACTCTTCGCTGAACTAGTGATCTCTCTATAAAATGAAAGTCTACAAATATCAATCTGCCATAAACCAAAATGGAATGAACAGCTAACACACTTTCACAGTTTTCTTACAATAAAGAGGAAAAGGAATCTCATCCGCTCTCTTACAACAAGAATCTATCACAAATGCATCGAAGAGATAGTGAGTAACGAATCGATATCCTTCAAAAACGCTCCAGTCAAAAATAGATATGTAACCTCCTTCATCAAAAAGAAAACAACTAAAGTGAAAGACTGATACTCTGCCAGACCTGGATGCGCTGAAGGAACCACTAATTTTAAATCTAAAATTAAAGGGAGATACAATTAGTGAAGTTCTGCGAAGCCGTCTGTCGAGAACACTTCGAGGAACGTTCATTGCTGTGTCTCTATGCCTCATTTTTTCCGCACATGATCTTATTCACTGAAACGTCAAACAACATAAGATCCTGTTGCTGACAACTAAAGTGAGCATTTACAAATCCACCTGTTCCTCAACAGTAAAATACGTAGGTCGTGAAAACAGGATACTGTCAAGACGCACCCATGATCATTTACCAACGTGGTTGTCAAAGGGATATCACAGGATAGCCAAGAATTCAGTTCTGAAGCACTCTATTACTTCTACTCACGCAGCATCTACAGAGACTTCATTCAGAGACACATGTAAAATACAATCAAGCCAGTGAAATCTATTTCGCCTACATCTTCTTAATGAAGCCGAAGCTTTAGCAGTCCATAAGAAGAAACCTAACCTTTGTATTCAGATACTTTTTTTTTCCAACCTCTTTTACTACAGTGGTGTTAGTGACAACTTTTTGTTTTCTCGAATTGTGATATAATAAACTCTATGCAACCCATTTTTGATTCTTTGTTCTCTTGTTTCTCATCAATAATTTCCAAATGATTATTGATCATTGATTGATTGGTCACAGGATTTCATCATAAGCTGACATCGGTTACAGAATCATTGGAAAACCCACGTGGGAGTACTGTCAGACAGCTACTCCTCTTGTCCTAGTTTGAGACTCTTCAACAGTACGCACCCACCGCCAGAGTTCGAGCTCACGACCTTCTGGTTACAAGGCGAGCTATCTCGTAAACGATTAACCCACTGGGACCCAATCCAATGGCCAGCCCATGATGAAGTCCTGTAACAAATCAATCAGATCCCTACAAACCAATACTTGAACATCAATGAGATGCTCACTAGCGACTGGCCCTATTCAGGTAGGTAGTTATTATCTGGGGTTCTAGTGGGAATTCGCTACCGGTAGTATGCAGCAGGCTGAGCGTAAGGACAAACATTCGTAGAAGACATAGGCTAGCGGTCGCGCTAAGTTGGGAGTTAGCAGAAGTTGGAATTCATGTACTGACTGGCCATTGGATCGGGTCCCAGTGGTTGAATGGTCTACTAGGTTTCGAACCCTGGCGGTAAGTGAGTACTGATTAAGAGTCCTAAATTAAGACGAAACAGCTTTTCAGTATCCCCAGATTTTCCAATGGTTCTTTAACCGATATCAGCTCATGACGAAATCCTGTACCCGATTATTGATCACTTAACGAATCAGTTGTCAGCCCTGTCAAGAATGCAGGTTTATTCACACTTATTCAAACATTATTATCATTCATATAATCTGATTTATTTTGTTGCTAACTATTAATAAACTCTGCTGTCACTTAACCCCCCCTCCCCAAATAACTCTACAGTTTTGCAGTAAAGTTACGGAAGAGATCGCCTTACTGACTTTCTCCATCACAAAACCTGGAGATTGACACAAAACTATGCTTTGATTTGATTTGGTTGTTATCTCCCAGCTGAACAGTTTAGCTATGAGGCAGTTTTCAGTATATTTCTAGACAAGATCTACAACGTAGACGATAGCAGAAAGTGAAGTTTATTTGAATGATTTTGCATGATTAATATATAACTGTGTCTGCAAACAATCTCTGCTCTGCTCTGATTGATTGTTAATTTTGGAATTTATCTTTTCATTGTCATATGACTTATTT